GAGTGCCCCCAGTTGCTGGACGTGGAGGATATGGTCCGGATGAAGGAGCCGGATTGGAAGTGCGTGTACACTTATATCCAGGAGTTCTACCGCTGCTTGGTCCAGAAAGGGCTGGTTAAAACCAAAAAGTCCTAGCCTCCCCTCTCTGTGGAGCTACGGTGAGAATCCTCGTCTTCTCGGTCCTTGCTTGCGGGGGGGGGCGGCGCACGGGTGTGTGTGGGGACCAGTGTTGCATGGGCGGACGGCAGCCACGTGTCTCGAGAACAAACCAACCTGTGCCGGGAGGCCAACAGTGAGAGAGCGGCCCGGCGGTGGGATCGGTTTGTATTGCCATCGTCCGATTGAGCTGCAAAATCATTTGTGCACAGAAGGGTCCCAGCGTGCTTACGAGGGGCGCCGTGCGTCTCCGTGTCCCCGGACCGTCTTTGAGGTCGCTTATCCCCCAAATGCCTCTGCGGCGTCGCCAGCTCTGGCGTTGGAACCCGCTCTGTTGCGAGCGGTGCAGAGAAGAGGTCAGGAGCAAGGCTCCCCAATCCGTCCCCTTGCAATGACGTTGCCCTGTTTTCCTCTGGCAGAGGGAGCAGGACTTAAGGAGCAGGCCAGGTGAAGAAGGGAAGCCTCTTTCTCCTCTTCCCCCCACGCCTCCTCCTCCTCCTCCTCCAGCTCTCCTTTTTGTTTGCTCTGGCCTTATAAGTCCCGGAGGAGCCGAGGCCCTGGAAAAAGTGACTCAGGCCGGCCTTGTTAATGTCTCGGCCTCCCGGGAGCACGCCGGGTACACAGCCGGCTGAGCGGGCTAAACAATGGCTTTATAAGGGCAGCCCGGCTTTGCTCTGGAGGCTCACCCAGGTTTTTCCATCACCCAGGCTGCCTGCAAAGAGGGGGTGGGGGGGTCCATTGTCAGTGACCTCTCTCGAGCTCCCCTTGTTCTCCGCATGGACTTCACCGGAGGCTGCAGAGAGGGGCAAGGAAACTCTTGACTCAAAGGCTTTTTGGAGAAAGGAAAAGATGAGGAAGCCGGATTCAGTCTGGATTCTATTTGGTGCTCAGTGGCATGATAAGCCGGCTTTGGAGAACTTTGCCATAGCTGGGGGAGGCCCTGGATGGTGTGGGACGACCGATGCCATTGTGCCTGATTTGGAGTCCAAAATCAGGGGGTCATCCCTGTGATGCTTCCTCCAAGCAGGGAGATTTCTCAAAGGTGTTTCTCTCTGAGGCTGGCCAAACGGGTCTTCCCCACGAAGCCCGCAAGCCAGGAGTTAAAGTCTGTAGCTCTGTCCTGCTCTTTTCCCCCACCCCCTCCGGCCATGTGGCCACTGCCTTGCCGGCCCCGATTCTAGATCTGAGGATTCTGCTAAGCCACGGATGAGAAGTTCATCTCCTCCTCCATGATTCCACCTCGCCCGCTTCGGAAACCTGTCCCGAATCCTGTGCTTTTACTGGTTTGAATTCTTCAGCTCTTGCGGGTTGCCTTTCTGAATGAGGTGCTCGCTTGCACCATGGTGTAAAGGAAAGGGCGGCAGTCCACGCTAATTTCCCAGTTGACACGGTTCGCTGTTGTTCTCTGTAGTGGAGAAAGACGGGTGGGCTGGTGGGGTAAAAATCAAAGAATTCCCCCTAGAAAAAATGATCTTCCGAAAATAAGGAGAGCTAAGTTAAAGTTAAGCAGCCGAAATATAAGCACATGGGGCTCTAACCTGAATCAACCCCACTGCTCAGATGTTAATTCAAATAGGGTTTTCTGTTTTCGAGCCACGATGGATAACTTGAAGCCCCCCAGAGGTATGTAGCTGGCCTGTAGCTTTGCTTGCCCCACTTCCCCCCTAGCTAGGAGGATTCTGCCCCTGGTAGACCCAACGTTTTGAAGGGTGCTGCGTTGGGAGAAGGTGGTACGGGGTCAGCATAAAACCGATGTACATTGGATGCATTTCTCATTGTGAGCCCCCCCCCACCAGCTGCCTCTGTTCTAGTTTACTGCAGCAAGAACCGCCCTGGACGCATGTAGGACGAATGGGTTTTCTTTGGCTTAAGCCTTTGGGGGCACATGATGAAACCCCCAGAGGTGGGCTCCCCCATGTCTGGGTCCTCTCCGAACCAACATCGGTTTGCTTGTAACTCTGTCCTCTTTGCCAGGGATATTGGCAAGTCTTTGGAGGTCTGAGTCCCAAGTCTCCTATTAAAAACAAGCCGTCTCCCCAGAAAAAAGGGAGGGGTGGGTAAGTTCCAAGTCACAAGTTGAATCCAAGTTATGGGGGGGAGGGAATCCAAGAAGACTTCAAGTCACTGGTGTGACTTAAGTCTGACTTGACGGCGAGTCCCGCCACGTGAGTCCCCCTCCCTGCTATTGGCCGTCCGTTTCTGCCCCTGGTTCCTTTTCTGTGTACCCGGCTGGTGGGGTCATCAAGAAGCGCATCTCAACAACCACACCTCCGTAATTGCTGGCTTTTGCTTGCCTGCCTGCCAGCCCGGAGCATTTGATTCTTAGCCAGGTTCTCTCTCACCCCCCCCCTCCCCAGATGTTGCTTCTGACTCCAGGGAGAAGTTCTGGTCTGGATCAAGGAGGGACGAGGGGAGGGAGAAACGGAGGGTGTCCAGCCCGTACTCCACTGGTCTCTGGTGGCAAAACTCAAGTACTGCTGGTTAGGAATGAATTGTCCCCGATTTACAGTCACGGTGCCGACAGAAGGCTTTTCTCGTTCCTACGGCAGACGCGAGGCTCATTGCAGATAATGAGTTAGCATGCACGTCTTGGGAAATTTAAATGACACCCAGAGGAAGGGTGGCATCGAGTGAGGTTGGCGAAAGAATCACAGAATCCTAGAATCGTGAAGGGACCTCTTAAGGCCATCCAGTCCAACCCCCTGCTCAAGGCAGGGATACAAATCGAAGCAGGTCGGACAGAGGGTGGTCCTGCTTTCTCTTGAGGGCCTCCACAGCTTTTGGGGCGCTCACCTCCTCCCAAAGTAATTGGTCCCATTGTCGTACTGCTCTAATTGTTAAGAGTCCCCCCCCCCAAATATTCAGCCTAAATCTGGCTTCCTGTCACTTGAGCTCATTTTTGTGTGTCCTGCACATAGGAATGATCGGGAACTCCTTCCCTTCCATCTTTTTTCCTGAAGGCTAAAAGAAAGGGGAGTTTATTTTCCTTCCCGCCCTCTTGTTATTCGCTGTGGGGAGAGAGAGGGCAAAGACTATATAGACCGTTGTTTTGAGGTGAGGGTGATTAGTCCAGATCAGGGGTTTTTTTTGGGGGGGGGCTTGGGCCAGATCCAGTCTTGAACCTCTAATAGAGTCCAGCCCCCTCGAAATGGATGGGACTTCTGAGTCAACCCTCCGACGAGCTCCCCAGATTTCTGTAGGTCTACTCTAGTTGTAAATGGGACCTCGCCTACTGAGGCGAGTCAATGCGGGTTGCTGTGAATGTTCCGTCCGTTCTCTACCCATCCCTACTTGCCCCCCCACAACCCTCCTGTAGGTCAGGCCAAACCAGGGTCTCCTGGAAAGGCCCCCTTATTTTAAGAAACGCCGCACGCCAGGCCTGAGCGTCTTCGTTTTCTCCAAGCAACGGCTTTGTCGCTAGCCATTGCATGCCTCTTAACCACCGGCTTGTCGCTTTGGGGTGGCTTTTCCTCCCTCCAACACTGTTGGGAGATGCTGGGAGATGCTGGGATGGTGGCCGCCCCTCCTCATCCCTCTCTCCTCCTTTCTCCCCCTCTTCCTCCTCCTCGTGGGGTGCTTGCCGTGACGGCGCTCTCTCTCTCTCTCTTTCCAGGATGCTCGTGGACTGCGTGCCGCTGGTGGACGTGGAAGACATGATGATCATGGGGAAGCGTCCGGATGCCAAGTGCGTCTTCACCT